ACACACACACACACACACACACACACACACACACACACACACACACACACACACACGCACATATATATATATATATATATATATTCTACTTTTGCATATGCACATGGATAGTACATACATGTACGCACTGGAGATTCAATATAGCTTCAGGGCCGCACTTAGTATGGTAACGTACAACCAGTTAACGGGGGCATCAAGAAAGTCCAGTGACGTTCATAATAGTAAATTACTCTATTTTAGTGTACCGCTGTAGTGAATACTATGATGGTAACGCATACCCTCGTTCACTCAAACCGTATGTGCGTTGTATTAATGAACGTGGAGAGTATGTGGAGATTAATCTGTGATATGCATAACTCAGTTTGGCCGTGTGCACACGCTTGTATTGGCCCAGTCGGTACCAGGTGCCTATCTGGGTACATTCAGACCCTATATTCGCGTACACTTAAACCTTAAATAAAGGACATAGGGAGACCTAAAGTTTGCGCAAACTTTGACCTAAAACAATGCCAACAGTTAGATCGCAGACCGATAGTCCTTTGACTATCCTATCAGGTGTGCAGCAAAGCAAACAGGACCTGTTGGACAATTTTTGGTAGTTTAGATCATGTGGTTGTATATCTGTTTTGGCTAAATATCACAATTCCGCCTTCCTTCCACTGGAGGATTGTCTATTGACATGGCTGTGTGTTGGTATGTGTTGTTCGATAGGGTCTAGTTTACGAGGACGGTGTCTGTTAACAGGAAAGATCTGAACTTCTATTATTTCACATCCTCCGCATGTCTATCTGTCGCCTATGCTACCTACATGCACTGTGGTCAAACGTGTTGTTCTACCAGCTACACACACTATGGTCAATCGTGTAGATTGTCTGTACCACGTAGCCCTACAATCGTATATCTTCTACTGCTGGACGATCCCACTATATATCATCGTTTGCATTGAACCCAACCGCTTCTACCGATGCATCCCAATCCATCCCATCATTATATACTGCCCAATGTTCGTTGTGATCTATACAGACAGTTCGTTTTAAAGTCCAATGTTTGTTGGATCAATGCAGAGGTAAGGTGTGGCAGTGAAGTGGAGTTTGGACAGGGCACATGCACGTTGCTGAACGAGTTGGTGCAGCTATGCTATCCGACTGCGTAGCACGCATGCAACGATCTTTACGACAAAGGTAAGGTTTAGCTATGTGCATGTATGGGTGTTTGTGCCCAAAACCCCAAAACCTTAAAATCCAATCCTCTAGAAACAGTACACACATGTCTAGCTTCACAGTTGTTCGGTCGGTGTACAAGGATGCACAGGGCCATTGTTTAGGCCAATAGCGCAGCATGTAGAGAACAATTTCGCAAGGGCAGTTGTATATAGCTGCAACTAATTACACACGAACGCACTGTATTGAAGACAAATTAAGGGTTTATTAAAGACAATCCGCTGGTTGCAGTGCCTCGCATGGTATTGTTCAAACCAGTATTGTATTATGCGTGGTGGGACCTGTTGACTCTCTGAGAACGGAATGAATATGGCATACGACGCGTTGTATTGCATTAGACGTGCGAGCGCATGTGCTAGTGTATTCAATACTCTCTTTTGTTTGGGGGTTTGTTTTGGAGGAGATATAGATAGCCATTGGCGGTGTGATAGTCGATTGTCTTTGTCTGCACAAAGTGTAATTGTGTCTTAGCTCAGGATTCACGAACACAAAGCACCACATATACTAATAATATACACAGATGCACGCGAGGCCCACACGGGCAACTCACAATTGTGTGCTGTCTGGTACACGCGTATGGTAACCTATCCATTCCAGCACACGCACACACACACACACACACACACACACACATACGTGCAGGCCGCGGCACAGTAGCACGTAGTTTGCGTATATGTGTAGAACACAATTCTGAGATTCCTATGAAACTCATGTCCAGATTTTGCGATTTCCTGAACCCAACGCAGACGCACATACACATACAGGCTTGTACACAGAAGCACGCAATGCTTTTACGAGTGTGTTGGATAAAACGCCGGACTCAGCTGCACTATGGTTGAACCGAGCCACTGCACACTTAGAGCTCAAGGACGCGCACAAGGCACTTTCAGACGCCAACAAAGCGATTACCTTATGTGCTGCGAGTGTGCACTACCCGTCGGGATTGCTGTACGTCAAGGCCATGTATCGTAAGGGAGCGGCGTACTACGCGCTGGAAAAAGTGTGGGGGGGGTGTATGTATCTTGATATGTATATCATAGGCGGGCGTGGTATGTAACTTGATATGTATATTATAGGAGGGTGTGTATGTATCTTGATACGTGTATTATAGGAAGGTGTGTATGTATCTTGATATGTATATTATAGGAGGGTATGTTTGTATCTTGATATGTATATTATAGGAGAGTGTGTATGTATCTTGATATGTATATTATAGGAGGGTGTGTGTGTATCTTGATATGTATATTATAGGAAGGTGTGTGTGATATCTGACATATACATTATCTGATGCGGCACACAGCGAAACAAATTCTAGTAGGGTTGCGCTATCTACATTTTGTACATACACAAAACCGCATATGCGAGCGTACTTATGCTATAATATATATATATTTATATATATATATTTAAGGTGTATCGGGTAAATGTTCGCTGTAGTCCAATCGTACAGTTAGACCGCAGAGATGCACAAGTGCCACTCTCAGATGCCAGCCAAGCGCTATGCTCGAGATGTGGATGTCTATTAGTCCAGCAAGATGCTTATCACATTCGGTTGTTCCTGTGCTTGTTCGAAGATGCATGTTTTCCGGTCGAGGGTTTATAGCTAACTACACAACCGGGCGACATGTGCCGACATATTACCATTCATACACGCAATGGGCCGTTGGATGTACTTCTGAATGGGCTCTGGGTTTGGTCTCTATACTTTTGCCAGTGATATACTGTTTTTATAGAACCTAAATCATCGTCCACGCTTTGGTTCACGCAGTATGAGGAGGCTGTGACTACGCTCAGCATACTATTGGCATGGCAATCTGACGAGGGGTCCGAGGCTATGCTCAAACAAAGCATACACGCACTGATCAATACACCTTCAGCAACAACCCACACGGATAAAGAACAACACACAGATACGTTAGTAAGCACAGATGGAGCTGACGATAGAGACCAGGGAGATGTATTAGATGCCACAGACATGGACTACAGTGCAGATGTGGGGCGTAGGGCAGAGAATACTGCGCCCAAAGACGGATCTGTATGAGCACCCCTTGTTAGCACCGGTGTTTGGACAACTGGCCGATACCGAGGGGATGTTGAAGGGGATGTTCCAAGGGTAGGTGTTTATCAAACCTGAGAAACGTGTATTTACCTTCAAACCCTAGGAACTTTATTTACCTTTAAACCTTAGATTCCTGTATTTACCTCTATGCGTGTGTGGATGACAGATATGTAAATATCAGAAAGGATATTCCAACGGTAGGAGTATACATGCCACAATGTGTGTATGTATCTATCTGCGTGTGTGTTTACCAATACCTGCAGATGTTAGACTACTTTTGAGCTGTGCTATCACTCATCAAGAATGTTTTGTATCGTTTCAAGTCGATTGTTACATTTCGATGCGATTATTTCGAATGTTTTTATTTTATTGGGATGAAGGCTGAGGAAATTATCATGGCTACTCATATTACCATGTATTGTCAAGGCAGGCGAATGATAAAAGGAAAGGATTTGTATATAGGTGTGGAATTTTGTTAACATCGAATTTTTGAGAGGGTAACAGGCTCACAATTCATTGGTAAAATATGTAGTTGGGATCGCAACGGAGCAAAGCTGTTCTTGCTGCAGCCCCGGTATAGTCTTTTACAGACTTTGTTGTACTGTTTTCCAGTATGTTTCACGCATTCATATCTGCATTTGGCTGAGCTCGAAACCGCATGTATCTATGGTTACCATGAATTTTACGCATTCACCTAAACATACGATCTAGCCTTCGAATCAACTGCTGCATCACAATATAAACAATTCAATACACGAGCAGGTACACACAGAAGGACCTCATACATGTGGACAATGCCTGTCTACCGCTTGTCCGTGAGAAGTTGGACTGTCCAGTGTGCTATCAGCTGCTCTACCAACCCGCTACACTGCCCTGTGGCCACACGTTGTGCCGACCCTGTGTTGGACGGACGCTCGATCAAGCCTATCTTAGAAGGTATTATATATATGTTTTTCAAGATAGTATCTATATATGTCTTGTATATATATATATATACACATACACACACACATACATGCGCACACACGCACACACACGTACACATGCACACACACGTACACATGCACACACACGTACACACACACACACACACACACACACACACTACACTACACACACACACACTATCACATATATACATATATAATACTATATATATATATATATATATATATATATATTATATATATTTATATATATATATTTATATATATATATAATATATCCTGTGTCTGCTGTACGTCGCAATATTTACACGCTCCTACATACACCATCTGTGCTCGCTGCGTACCACAGGCATAATAAATCGATAGTTTTAAACGTCTGTATTGCACTAAATACAGATAAAGTGTATATATAGTTGGTCAGTATGATATAGTGTTATATAACATTCATATATACATAGTTGCTCAGGCAGATATATCACTACACTATGATTTCTCCTCGACATCTACACTCCAAAGCCCTTCATGCCCAATGTGCCGCTCAAGTTTAGGCGAGTTTTTGCTGTGGCTCAACTTCCAGGCCATGGCCAAGTCAGCCGTAGGCGACCACAGTGAATACGTGCACTATCTCTCCGCCATCCACACCACGCAGGTGCGTATGTGACGCTTGAAGCCTGTATTGCTGTCCTTGTTGTAGTTGTTATCGTAGTTTTCGCAAAGGTAGAGATTGTGTTGTTTATTTATCGGACGTAGAATGTCAGAGTTGTGTACAATGTCTCGGCAGATAGGGGGTGCTGATTGTAATTGCATCCTTTTCTCACTTCAAGATCGTTGCATTTATGCCGATTGATCAACGGCCATTGTGCCGGCAATGTATGTGAAAGACATGTGGCCGCTATAAATGATAAATAGGAATTAACCACAACTATGTATTCGCAACCATATCCTTCACCCGATTCATGCCATCCATATCGAACGACTATGCACATCTATAGTCCTTACATGTATGTAGCAATGACGTGCCTCTATCTTCAACCTATCGCTATGATAACGTTAGTCTAGAGTAGTGATTGTTAAGTCTGCGTCTGTGTATTTGGAGATTTAATAATGAGACCGGGCGTTTGTGACATTTCCAATAGTGTCGAGGCTAGTTGCAAGATCTGTCGATGACAGTCTCTGAAACTCGCATCTATCCACGCTGAATGGAATATGTTTATATCGGTACTATTTAACCCCTCCTACACACAATGGCAAGCATGTGCGCTAACACTGACAACACCAAAAACACTGTGCACGCAAATCAGAAAGCCCTTAGCGTGCGGTGGCCAAACGGAGACCAACGCTTCTGTTCCACAATGGTGGGAGTCATTTTTTGCGCTCATCCCTCAGGGATAATTTTGCTACAAATGTTTGAAGGTCCGACTCGAGACTGAAGTGGCCGCCTATTAATACTGACACAAACACACAATCACACACACACACACAAACACACACATACACACACAAACATACACACACAATCACAAACACACACATACACAATCCCATACACACAATCCCAACACACACACACACATACATGTATATATTTATTTATATATATATATAGGTTATACAGACCCTGATCGAGATCTTTTTTGAGAGCGAGTACCGAGAACGGGTGGAACAATATCAGCGCGACGAAAACGGCGCGGTACAGACAGACACAATAGCAATCTTCTGCGACACAATTATGTTGGTATGCTTTGTCTGTATATATGGTTTTGTATATAATATTATGTGTGTGCTTAGCTATAGGCTGCTTCATGCTTCATGTATAGGACATGGCATACGGTTGTATGTTAAATATTTTTACTGCTCAATGATGTTGGTATGCATTGCCATGGATAAATGATCCTGTATTATGTTATGTGTGCCTGACTATAGTCTTTATATGTTGGGTATTTCAGGGTTTTTTTACCAAAGGGTTTAGTGATTGGTAGCTAGTACGTTCATCGCAAATACTTAAGGAAGGGGAAGGGAGTATGTCTTTTAGCGTGGACGTACGTGAGTCTGTAGTTTGATGGTTGTGGCTGTGTATTGGGCACGGAGTTGCCATCAATCGTATACATCACAAGAACGTGATAAATTGCTCTAGAACCCTCATCAGAGCTCTTGTTCTTAGATATTAGAGTAGCTTAAAGTGTTTTAAGTTTGAAGTGAATAGTTGAAGGCAGACCTTGTCATCCATATAGAATTTATAGCCCGCCTTGGTTAATTGCGGGACGCTGACCAGGTTTGTCCTTAGTGTTGGCCCATAAAGGACCCTTCCGGCGTCACTCAATTGTCCTGAGTGAGTTGCGATTCTAATGAACGTACACCTAGCTGACGGGACTATTGGAATTGCAACTCACTCAGGGCAATTGGGCGACAACGGAAGGGCCATTTATGGGCGACTGTCGAGAGGACTAATTTCTCCACGTTTTCTGCCTTAATCAATGCTTTCAGCCTGGCACCTCCGCCACAATGGAGGTCTTTGAGCCTCGATATCGTCTTATGATCCGCCGGTGCATTGGCAGTGGCAACAGAGCCTTTGGCACAATGAATTCGATGGATGACAAGTACGGCGGATTGGTCTCCATGACGAGGTATGTTGCTATGGATACCGTAATACTTGAATAATGATATATTTGCATACTATGTGATGTTAATCGGATCAAATATTCTATACTATGCGACATGCCATCCTTTCGATCGGTGCTAGTATGGTCAATGGTATCAGTTTTTAATCAGTTCCGATTAAGAGTATGTTTTAAGGTCTCGTCATCAGTTTTCTGGGTACCGGTGACACCATTTTTAGTACACAGACATGTCGATAGTGTGTATGATTACGTCTGTAGTGTGTGTGTGATAAAGGTCATTTCTGGTACCGGGTTTAATGGTCCACGGCATAAAACAACCATGCGTGTATCATAAGCTTTGGACTATATAGCACTCCTTCGAGAAAAATATTTCATCTCTATGGTATGGTCAATATCTGTAACATCTGTGCCGCACTGGATATATACAATGCAAGCATCATCGCTCACAAACAAATGTACAATAAGGTGCCTTAGCGACGTATATAAAGGATACATACAGCACATTCACATTCGGTTTTCAATCAAAGGTCATACCCCGCAGATATATAACTACAACGCGTTGTGTACCTTATTTCCTTGTGACAGTTACAAACAGCGGCCTGATGGGACCTCAATCATCGAGGTCACCGGTACCAAAACTTTCAAAGTCCTAAGTTTTGGTTCACGGGATGGCTATACCATCGCAAACGTTCTATGGCCGTCTGAGGATGGCACTTGGCCTCAGGAGACGGACAACGAGGTATCTTTGTTATATGCGTATTATGTTCTATTCGGTTGTGTTAGTGTTGTTATTGATATTGTTATGTGAGTAATTTGGTTCCATTACAGTGTCGTTATTGGTGTTACATGAATAATTCGGTTCTATTAGTTTTGTTATTAATGTAGTTATGAGTGCCTATTGATATTGTTATGTGAACAATAAGGGTCTTTCAGTGTTGTTGTAGATGTAGTTATGTGAGGTTATGGATATTGTTACATGAATGATTCGGATCTATTAGAAGTGTGTTGTTATTGATATGGCAGGCTTCTCGGAGTTGTTGTGTGCTTGTACGCGAGCATTTGTTTTCATCAGCAGTGTGATCTTATGCTTATGGTCGTGCTTGCCACTTATCGCCTTCTTCGTGCATACTCGGGGTATATATCTATACGAGCATTTGCGTTGTGCCATCTTAATAGGGTTCGGTGGAAACAGAGGCCTTTACGTTGTGTGACTGGGGTATCTGTTCATTAGATCAGTTGATTATGTCTTTATACTTAGTGGGTGTCGTTCTAACAGAGACTTTCTCGTTGCATATGATTTATACCTTTTACTAACCAGGGAGTGTGACTGAAACAGAAACCTTCTCGTTATATATCCCTGATGTCTGGTTATGCGAACGTTTAGTTTCTATTGATTATAACAGGAGCCTTCTCGTGGTATATCCGTGATATCTGTTCGTAAGATCGTTTGATTGTATCTTTATCGTGTCATTGGAACAGGGACTTTTTCGTTGCATATGATTTAAACCTTTAATTAACCAGGGAGCGTGACTGGAACAGGAGCCTGCTCTTTGCATATCCGTGATGTCTGTTCATGAGATCGTTCAAATTAAACCTTTTTATTCATCAGAGTGGGGCCGAAACAGCGGCTGACGTGGACTCCGTTGTAGCGGAGAGTGGCAGTGACGAGGACGAAGCCGATATGCTGGACATATCTTCGATACCATCGCTGCGTAATTTGGCATCGAGAACAGGTACGATGGTATACAGGTTTGTGTATGTAGTTCTTTTTCTTGTTTTGATATGTTCGGACAACAGGGGCAACAAGAATATTGGAAATCTAGTTGAAATCATTGGCAATGGGTTTGAAGGTCTGTAAACGTATTTACGGTGTGCTCGTTACCTGTCACACCCTCACATTGGTACAAAACTTCGGATAGACCGAAATGCTTAGCACCCACTGCAACCACGGATATGCGTAAATTTTGGTCTGCATCGCTGATGAGGTTATCTTATTTCTTCCCTAGCTGGCTGTGACTATCACCTCCCTCCAACCTCTTCCCATACAACTTATCCCTTCCCTATACGGCAGAGGCAGGGGCCGAGACGAACGCCGGCCAAACCGCAGCGCAAAACCAGCAGTCTCTACAAACGGCTCCTAGTCGCATCCTCGCAGACATGCGCTCGAATGTACAGTCACTGTGGGGGCACCCACTGCTAAATGCGTTGGTGACGGGTGGCGGCAGACAACCCTCTCCCACAGACGATGGGCACTTTCTCAACTGGTGCATGTCACTGACATTACCATCCAGGATGCAGGTACGGATATGATACATACGATAGTCAGATATATAGTATGATCGATACTATAGGCAGATATATACTGTGATAGATACTATAGGCAGATGTATACGATGACAGATACTATCAACAGATATATACTATGATAGTTACTATAAGCAGATGTATATTAGTTGAATACTATAGGCAGATGTATAATCATGTGTATACTATGATCGATGTGATAATCAGACACATACTATGATAGATACTATAGTTAGATTTATACATAAAAAGTGGGCAGAGCGTGTTCGTGTTCTGGGTTGTATACGTGTTGAAACCAATTTCTACGACAATCCATTATACACAACCTTGCCTTACTTATCCAACCTCAACTTTCCTATACCTTACACTATCTCACAGTATGAGCTCGTTTTCGGGGAAATGTATCGAGACAACTATCATCTGCGTGTGGGTGTGGTACATCTTCTGTGGCAAAGAGCAGTGGTGCACATCCTCTCCACTTTCGGACCGGCACGAAGTGGCGCCACTTTACTATGACTACATGGGCTGGCCATTTTTTTAAGGGCTCTGGGCCCTATTTGCATCAATATAGGACCGTGCGAGTTCTATATAGCACTCAGCTGGTTCTTGAAAAAGGACTGCATGCGGGGCATGGCTACACTCCATTCGAAGTTGCAATTCTCTTCTAAATCCATCAATTTAGAAAGCTTCTGCTAGGGTGCGAACTGAGACACCGCTGTTGACCATTTGCATTTGTCGATTGCTCTCTCAATATCTACCAAACAAAGTAGTCATACCCCTGCTTGTCTAATTAGAAGAGTAGTCGTGTTCCGCCTGTCGCTGGCATGGGTAGCTCACACCCATCGCAGGCCTGGGTAGCTCACACCCATCGCAGGCCTGGGTGGAGCGATCAGTACCAGTACATACAAATCCATTGGCGTCGGTCTGAACGGATTCGGCTGTCCTTCATTGGTGTGTATACGGCACACGAGCAGTTATGTACGGGATAAGACTAAGTGTGTCTATGTACGGCTAGACGTCAAGTGCGCACGTGACTGGGCGTGGATAGCATTTGGGTGTTTGGGTGTGGTGTTCGTGCGCGGACTATCCTTCACATACTTTCTATGCCAATGCCTTGGCACAGGCATATTCCTATCTCTCTTTTAATTGAGATCCATGTATTAGTACTGAATCAGGTTAGTGTATACGCTACGGGCGCCCAGGGCGTCCCATACCTTAGATATTAACATCTTACCATATGATTCGAACCGTGTTTCCGAGCAATAAATGTATTAGGTGCCAACGAGAACAACTGTCCACTGTCTACTTCCCACTCATGATCTATAACAGCTTGAATTGATGGTTAATAAATATCGCCGAACCAACCCCAATTATCAATGACGTATACAATTATATAGGCAAGTCGATAAATCTGTGTACAAACAGGCATGTGCACTATACGTAGTTCGAATAACACTTAAGACGATCCTCATGACCTGACCAAGAAGCGAACAAATTTGATGTGTAAAATCCTAAATATCGGTATACATGCACAACTGTTTTTCTGGCCTAGAATTTGTATATTAAACTTAAGGAGTGAATTCGAAGAATACCACAATATTTGCATCCATTGTCTGTGGCATACTGTTAAAATCTTCTCGACATGCTTTGCTGGGCTGTCGAGTGGCGTTTGGTGACCGTCACTTAGGCTTCCATCCAGACAGCACGGCACCTACACAGAGCCATGTGCATGTGCTCAGGTTGCATGTTACCCTGTAGCTGCCAGTGTGGTTATAAATGTGTTGGCGAGTCTACAAGTTTAACAGGCTGGTACAGATACCCACATCTGCGCAAACAATCTCACTGTACACAACACAGCAATTAAAAAGGCTTGCTTAAATATATGCTATTAACCCCCCCTCCCCCTATTTTGAACCCTATTGATATGACGTTGATATTGGAGCCCACTGAGAAGTTTGGATGTTTGTTTGGGATCCAGGTGCATGGACGCCATATCACGGAGAACGAACATGTGTTCAGCATATGCCCATCCTTATATATACGACAGCTGACCTGTGCCAGTCACAGATACGCACGCCCGCCAGACACCCAGTGTAGGCCCATATACCCCCCCCCCTCTCTCATCTATTTCCCTCTTAGTTTGGTGTCTATGCACTTGTTCACACCATCACACAATTGCTTAGACCAATCAGCAGGGTAGGGGAAATTCAGTCAACCCGGAAAGGGCTCAGCCCAACACTCGTCCTCTCTCACGCACACGCTCTACTGCAGGATAGTCCGGCGCCGGACTAAGCTACAAAACATCTACCTCCATTCAAGGTGGATTTAAAGTTTGGCTGAAGTGTCTCGTTTGGTTGTCTGATTTGTCTCCCTTGATTGATGGCTGCAAGTGTGCTTATCTTTAGGCTGTGCCTGATAGTGCCGAACTACCGTCGGCTTGTGTGGGGTGACTTTGTTTGACACGGGGTGTACTCATTTACCGTCGGTGTCCGTAGATTTGACAGGCAAAAACTGCATACCAAACGAGAGAAGCAAATTTAGATATAAAAATTGGGATTGCTGGACTGTGAAAAGAATAAAACGAACAGTTATCTACACATACGAATAAATTGATATACTTTCCCCTGTATGTACTGATGTCTCTATATACACACTAGTCTGCATATACACAAAAGCGGCCAATCATTCGAGGCGTATATATACAAATTGTGCCACATACAATATACAATGTACATACACACACACACGCACACACCCACATATATATATACACATATACATATATATATATATATAAATACATACATACATACATACATACATATTTACACATTACACATACATACTTACATATATATATATATATATATACATACATACATACATACATACACACACACACACATATATATCTATATATATATATGATTACATACGTCGTTCTTCATAATGGGATTCATGCTATAGATAGCTGATGCGCCCACAATCAATATCAGAGCAATAAACGTAGGCCCGTCAATGGGATAACCAAACAGCATCCACGACAAGATGGCTGTGGCAATCAATTCAATCGCCGATGCATACACCTATTGCCAGTAATAAGGCAAACGTGTCAGAAGTATCACAAAGAGCTGCATATGGAGCTATGTGACGTATTGTCTCGTGTGTGAAAGTATCAGTATGTATCGAGAGGAGTACGTGCCTGTGTGAGCGAAAGAAACGCACTGTGTACTTGCCGAAGACATCTACAATATTATCCCAGCTACAAATAACGGACGTAGAGCACAACAATATCACGAGGTGTGAAGAAAAATAGTCATCAATCAACATTATTACACTACCTCGTATACCTACTCATATATGTACGGTGCACATATACTTGCACATACATACATATATACGTACATACGTTCATACAAGCATACATACAGCATACAGAGATATATACATTCTATACAAATATATACCAATAATTGCATGAACGCCGAGCCAAAGGTCGAGGTAATCCGCCAAGTTCAAGTTATCGCGTGCATTTCAGCATGTAAACAAGAAGTGTAGGTGTACATACCTTGACAACGGAATTGAGTTTCTTCAGGAACAGTGACGTGATGATACCAATCATTGCGTTGTTACAGCACACGAGCACAACTACTGGTTGCAACATGCTGGACAGACCTTGGGCCGAGAATGCCTGGGGATGGACGCATAAGCATGTGTAGGTATGAGTGATCTATGAGTCATAGAAGCCAGATAAGACGGGAGAAACGACAACCGGAAAAGACAAGGTGGATGAGGGGTTGCGTGTTAGGGTACAAATGACTTTATTCGCATGCGCATCCCAAATTCAAATGAACCCAAACGAGGGTTTCTTCTAGCACTACATATACATATATACATACACACACACATACATATATATATATATATATATAAATATATATATACATACATATACATATTCATATGTATATACATACAATACATAGATTACCAATAATCGTGTATGTATACGTATTGTACTTTTGCTTGCATTCAATGTACACACCCATGCACTTACCGAGCCCAGCTCCCCTCGGACCATGATGAAGAGGATATTGCACACAATGGAATCCAAGTACATGTAGCAATTCTGCAGCATGACAGGCGCTTCGCCATTGTCGCCTTTGAGCAGCTTCTCATTGTATACACCAGCAAAGCACGAGCAGAACACCTGCACCATAATCAACCCCGTGTGGAAGTAGAAGTCCGCTTGACGTTGTGCCTGGAGTGCGACAAGGAGACGGGTCAGTGATATGACAACCGAAGCAACAAACCTTTGGTAACGTGAAGGGTGTGGATGAATATAGTTTGCTAAATGATCAGATGTGTCTATCCTCGGGCGACAGTACTTTCCCTATTATATTCAGAAGCCCACTTGGGTGTAAGCATGCTGCTCTAACGGCGTATACCTTTGAGTTCAGTGACGGGGCTGTGCGATGCTTCACATTCGCATAGAGGCACAGTCTATGACATGCATTTCTTCAACCTATAGGGATCGCAGTAGGCTATTCAGCTACTCGATAGATATAGGGTATAGTCTTGTTTGGCTATCCCAAGTCATCTACACGGCGAGCTGTAAAATATCTCACAGCTAAGAAAGTATATTTGAAAGTAGCTTACACAGGCGAAGTGCGTGTTGTATCATTTATATATACAATCCGCACTAACATAAGCTGGTACAACGATATCCAGTAAACACATAGATCTCCTTACACCTCGATAGGATACACAGAACCCACAAACATAAATACCTCGATGCCCACTGATGCTTCCTTATGCGAGCCAGACCCATACTCTTTCATAAAGCAACCGCACGTCAGGATAACCAGAGACGCCCACTGTTTTTGCGACAGTCTCTGCTTAAACAACACTTGGAACACCACTCCAGTTACCACCACACGGAATTGTAGTAGCAGATAGTATGACGTGGGGTCGTAGTTTGCTAGGTTGATGAATGCGAGGTTGTTGTACAGACAATACAGCCCAGCCGGGACGAAGTACAGCCTCAAAAGGTTCTGATGCGCCTGAAACTCGCGCTGGAACTTGGTGAGACCATGCCTGTACCGATTGTGCGGCGTATAGGTTATTTTCGGCGATTGAGAAACATGCTGACTCACATGCGTGCATGTATATGAGTGTATACACATACAGATTGAGACAGTATTTGCATGGTACTAAGTATATAAGTTTAAGTACATGTACAAACATAACTATAAATACAATATAGGTATAAGAATTTTAAGAATATATATATATATATATATAAATATACATATATATACAAGTGCGTCTAGGAAAATCACGCTGGTACCTGTACTGCAATTCGCAGCTGATTTTTCGAGAAGTATAGCAGTGCAAAATTTAAAGAATCCGAATATCAGCAAAGGATAACCACAGCACAACCCAGGGCTCAACCATACATTCAGTATGTATCAAGAGAACCACCGCATGTCGGATGTTTATTTACAACTTAAACAAAACCTTAACCACATGTACATATGTTGGCTAATAAAAACTTGTTACAGAAGGAACATCTGAACTGTCAATGCAAACGTTTTAAATTCACTCCCAAATTCATATACAAGAGTATGTGGACAAAGGTTCACCCAATTATAAATATGGATACATATAAACTAGATTGATACAATACACACTGAATTAATGGACATCAAAGGCAAAGCTAGGCATTTACATTGGCCTTACTTTTGTTCTCTTAAAGTGCTTGTGTAACCTATCAACCTCAGACAAGCCCTATGAGAGGTGTCTCGCCATTCTGACAGATAGAAACAGACAATGCCACGCAGAACGAATAACCCGGGATGTCAGAAACGTCTGAAGGGTATCCCGTCTACATGTAAATACTCACACTCATCTGCCAGTTCAAAAAGCGACACCACTTCACGAGACATTTTATGAGACAGACATCTATTTCACCCACCCACCTGTGAAGCGGTATGTATATTTCCATATGTACAGGGAAACACCACAAGCTCAGGTGTACTCTATATATATATATATATATACACATACACACACACACACACACACACACATATATATATATTGGTCTTGAGCATACAAAGTAAACACACAATCTATGTCTCCCACGAGAAGAGATGGTGAGTTTTTAATCATTTTGGCAGACCGAAGTGAAATATAGCCGCGAAGTCGGGTAAATGTTTGTCCTAGAAGGCACTCCAAAGTAACGCTGCGATTCAAGGACTTCAAGAACAAGGCAAATATCGAGCACACAAACTGATTATTGCAGAAATCTCGTCTACATGGTTAAATCTAGGCCTAATAAACAAGCTCAAGCACACACACACACATACACACACATACTATATATATATATATATATATAAATATATATAAATAAATATATACACACACACACACATATATAATTTATGAATACATTACCTTTCTATATAAATATGGATATCGAAATGATTTACAAATAAATAACGTATACGCACACGCATACGCATACACACACATATATATAGAAGTATATATATATATATATATTCATATACATATATACGCACAGACACATACACACAGACACAGACACAGACACACATATATATGTATGTATATATATATACACACACACACACACACACACATATATATATATATATATATATAGTTTATATATAGTACATATACATATACATATACGTATACACACACGCATATATATTTATATACATGCTTTTATACATACATACACACACACACACACACACACACACACATATATATATATTACATACATACATACACACACACACACACACACACACCCACACACATATATATATATACATATTCGAACGATTAATACTTACTCTTGCACATAGAGTCCGAACGCCGTGGCGAGTTTAATGCATTCGGCCGTCATAACAGCCGTGGTGGTATTGTAGGAGTAGCCTCCACCAACCGACTGAGATGCAGTGGTTAGCAATCCTTGCATAACGAACGTCCCCATGTATGCGAGACATATCACAAAGCTTGCATTGTCAGGGAACACTCCCCTTAGGTTGCCTAACATGTCGTTATGTGCTTTGAGTGAACTCATTGGTGTACGCGTATGTACTGTGGCTGTGGTGTAGTACGGCTGAGCAACAACTCTCTCCAATACTATTGTAGGATGCACAGGGTACCTATATTGTATATTTTGATGTGCGTGTTTACTACATATATGTCAACTTATACACACAATACTTATTTATATAAAGTATATTGGGTCTGGGACTCTGGGAAGGCTGGGACAGTGGGACTGCTATGAGCCGCGAGGTCGTAGCCTGTCACTATGTGAGCGCACTTTTGTGTGCAAATATTTTCAGATGACAACGATTGCAGGGACTGCGACTGCTCCTTGGTAACAGATAAATATGTTTGATGATTCTTCTCGCCTCCGATTTTGGAGGTAAAATGTTCGGTACTTTCTAACGAAGGGCAATATTCTGCTATGTATCACACGTGCCAAAACAACGAAGCTTATTCCTTCATGAGTCATTAGTTTCTGATTTTTATATAAGGTGTGTGTTTTATAAAAAAAATACTATTCTCCGTGGACCGTGGTATATATTTCTGAAAGAAGTACACGTGCCCTGATTTAGAGATTTCGGCAGTTCCAATTTTTGTAATAATCGAGAGTCAAAATATGCGGTGCCTTTAGAATCCTACACGTGCATACACACTTGTTATATTAGCTTACATATCACTTTATCTATCGACTGTATATACGCACAAGTCCGTTTCTACCATCTACTACCAGAATCAGAATAATACTAAAGGGTATTGCTTCTGGATCGGCATTTATACACAACATATAAGCTTCTATAATACTTAAATATATATATAAATCAACAGGATGCCTGCCGTTAAAAAAAGTGTGCCTGACAAGAGGGCTGCAACTGGTATGTACATAATTGTCTAAAAGTGCATAAATCGAAGAAAAAAACACCAAGTATTACTCTATGAATATATAATATTGGGTGAAATGGATTTTACATGTACACACTTTCAAGCGATCGAAGTAAAACTGCACCATCAACATTATGGAGCTGGAATTATCTGCTCTGGATAGTATTGTGCCTATCGTATACATATGTATGTGTATGTGTATGATT